GATATCATTTAGGTTGTTTTTTCCAATTCATTTAAGTAGGTGGAAAATTGTTTTTTTTAATTTTTGTGTGTGTGTAAATAGGACCATAAGTCATAAAAAAATTTGGAAGACATAATTTGGATGAATATCTTGACAAATCTCCAGGAAAACTATATGAAATTTAGAATATTAAAAATGGCATGTTCATGTAAAAAGGCATTATGAACTAGATAGTATAAAATTAAATAGTGTTTGGATAATGATTGTACATTGAAGGAGAGTGTGTGTATATTATATTTTTTCAAACTAAACATTTTGTAAATCACAGAATTTTTAAAGTAAGTAAAAATGACTTCATTGATTTCTGTTGGGTTTAAAATTATAATATATATATAAACCCAAATCTGTCTGCTTTTGACATGGCACAAGTAAGGTTCCTGACATTTTAAAAATGTAAATATAGATTTTAAACACACATAAATCTGTTTCTATGAAAAGACTAAAAATAATTTGTATATCAGATTTTGTAGAATTTTTCTTTTCAAGGTCACTTTGAAAATTGACTAAATTTTTATGTAAAAAAAGAAATTTATTCACATTTTTTCTTAAAGAAAGTTTAAGCTTAAATATTACTGTAAAACAAAGTTACTGCTAATATTAGGAGCATGCAAAATTTCTAATTTTCCAGCACTTTTTTGGGTGGTGGGGGGCACCAAAGTTCGTCTGAATTCAACTAAAAATGAGAATTTTTTATTCTCATCTTTGTACCTTTTATTAATGCTTCATGAGTATTTTCTTTTTCAATCTCTTAATGATGCCTTATATTCCAGAATGTTGATAGAAATAGATTTTCACTTTTCTTTTCTTTAAATCATCCCATGTTCATCAGGACCATCATTGTGATCCCCATTTGAGTCTTGGACATTGGTGTGAGAACCATAGCTTGGTTACAAAAACTTTATAAACAAAAAGTTCATGGTCATTGTTTTTTGCACCTTTTACCTTCCAAATCGCATACAATGTATCCTCACTGAATATATATGAATCACACACACACACACGGTTGCTGAATGTTTGCCGTTACTTAGATTATTCTCTAAGTTCTTTATTCAAATGTGACCTGGTATTGGAAATAAAATTAGCCTTTTTGTGAATCAAAGGTAAAATTAAAGTCAATAATTCACCTTAGAATATTTTTAAGTAGCTCCTCATCTAAATTACACTTTTCATATTCTAGCCTTCATAAAATAATTTTTAGGGGGAAATATGTAAATTTAATGTACATAAAATAATAATGGTTGACTAGTTTTTGTATAAACTTATTATAGTAAGTTGAAAGAAAACTTAACAATTAATGAACTATGAAATTTATAAATTCCCATAACTTAAAACATTAATTAAAAAAAAAAAAAAGATTTGTTTTTATATGATACTTTTTTGTATACAAATTGATGTTAACTGATTTTCATCTGTGATTTTAAGATGAATTTTTTTTTTTTTCTTCCTTTTCTCTCTCTCTCTTCACACTGGTGAATTTTTCAAGTGAATCTGTTTGGCTGTGGACGGTTCTGTTTTAATGGTATTTTATACTGGCGCATTCATTTTTATTGGATATTCTATTATGTTATTGACTGTTGACTTTGTTAGTTTATATTTTTGTGGATGTAAGAGGGAAATAAAGGTGAAAGTTTAAAAAAAAAATTGTATTCATTTGGTGTAAATTCTCAAGTATAGTGTTATCATAGTCATTCCTTTTGTAATCAGGTTATGATTTTGAATTTTTTAAAAATTAAAAGATGGTTGGCTTCTGATTGTAAAATTAATTTAATTTTTTCAAAAGTGCCTGTGCATCTGCAAAATCATAGCTTCTGCCAATAAACATTTAATGCATTGTAAAGTCCATCTTGTATGATGTTTTTTTTTATGTTCTTCCTATCATTTATTTAAAAAGCTCTACATTATATCTGAGATGGATACTATAAAAGAACATAGAAATCTCTCAAAGGCTGAACTTGATGCTAAAAAATCAAAAGAATGTGACAATATTTTGTACAAACTAAAATGACTGATGAGTTTATATTATTGTCAAGCACCAAATAAATAAAAGTAATTATAAAAAAAATCATTGTAGTATCTAAAAATAAAATTGGGAATTTACAAAAGTTTTATTTAATTGCATTAGAGAATGTAAAGATGGCCACATGTCATAAAGTGTACACTCTGCATAATTAAATAATTATGCTGAGTAGTGGTGGTGTTGGGGGCTGTACTGATGACATAATTTATGACAAACGTCTACATTCGTTACCAAATGTTCTAAGAAGTAGATCTTAACATAAATCGTTTCCAAAACAGAAACTGTGATCTGGAATTGAAGTGAGAGTACTCATGGCACATACCCTGAATCCATCAAAAAAATTCAGAATGTGTAATTAATTAATTTTAAACATTTCAAATATATTGGTGTATGGGCCAGTTATAACAAATTTAGTATAATGGATAAAGAAAGTGAAAATAGCATAGTTTACATGAGTGTTAGTTTTGTCCAACACTGTAAGATGCTATAGAACTTAAAATATTAACCTGAATACTCAAGTCCTATCCTTCAATAGACTCATCAGATCTAGACTCTCATATGGATGTTGTGTATAGTGTCTGACTAATTTAGAAATGCCTAGGCTATCTATATTCAACAGTTTTCTTGGGTCACTGATTATAAAATGGTTTCAAGTAAATGAATCCTGTAGATGTTAAAGACAAATCTTTATCATACTCTATTGACAGCTACCACAAAATCAGAAAGATTGTTACCAAATAACAAAAATCACATCACTTGAAGACTTCAACAGCAACAAAATTGGATAGTGCATGTAACTAGAAGGGAAAATAATCTAATAAAGATGCTAGCTTCCCACACTACTTTAAACAAAAAATTTTGAATGAAACTCCTACTAGTGCTGCTAGGAAGAGCTATAACTGTGAACTTGAAGTCTATTTTACTGAAAAAAAAAAAAAGTTTTACGAAAAAGATTTTATAAATTTCAACTGACAGTAACAGCGTTTAGTTAATAAATGATCATTATACTGATTTTCTAAGCGTAGCTTAGATGTGGCACAAGGCCGAAAGTATGGGGCACCCAGTGAGGAACGAACTCACTCTCTAGTTGTAACTGATCTAGCCAGACAAGCTTGCTAACCATTACACCATGCCCAGGTGCCCCATTACTATCATTATATAATGCAAGCAGTTGCTGTTAATAGTACACATACCCAGTCAAGTAATTTATCAAAAATCAAATATTATGTACAGTCAGTCAATTTGTATTTTTCCTGCAATCACTTTTCAGAAATACTTCTTGAATTTTTCAAGAGAAATGTGTTACATGATAACTTGTGCTTATTATTGTAGCTGTTCTCGACAATTCACTAATTTTGTTCTTAGAAACCAATTCATATAAGCTACTAGCAGTAGAGCCCGCCGTTGCCCGGGGATATAACAGTAAGAGATAGATCAAGTATCCACCATCATAAAGACTGAAAGATAAAATTGACAAAGATTATTGTTTAAGGTTGACGGACACACATGTCTTAATTAGTTTTTTTTTTTTTTTTTTACAAATTGGTCAAACTCAAACAAAAACATTGTTTTCAATCGTTATGAGTCTCCCGATTGAGACAATAAGCAACAATAAGAAACACTACATGCCAAAAAAAAAAAAAAGTGAAGTTTTGTTGAAATCGGTTGAAAATGTAGGTAGCCTTTTAGTTTTACAATTTATGATTTTTCTTATTGAATACAGTAAAAAAAAATTGCATATTTTGCTTGTGGTGATTCATAATTAGAATTCTGATTTGAATATATTTTCCACTCATTGTTTCTAATACAAAAAATATTAACTTTATTTGGGTTTATTAATTATGATCTAACAAATCTTATTCATTTGGTAGCCTTTCTGTAATAATAATCTTTTACAATTTATGATTTTTACTTATTGAATACAGTAAAAAAATTGGACACCATGTGTATTTAAAGTAGTTTCCCGTTCCGGTTATTATTTTTAGTTAGGACTTGTGTATGTTTAGATTTCATTATCTTTCCTTAAAGATAAAGAATTTATCTGATGTTTGTATTCGTACAATCAGTAGAAATCGTTAGATTATTGTTTAAGGTTGACGGACACGCATGTCTTAATTAGTTTTTATTTTTTTTATTTTTTACGAATTGGTCAAACCCAAACCCAAATAAAAACATTGTTTTCAATCGTTGTGAGTCTCCCAATTGAATACAATTTTATTATAAATAATTGTCTTGTAAATGGAATTTTTAAAGCATTCTGAATGTTAAAAGTAAAGAAAAAAGTGTGCAAGAGAATAAGAAACACTACCTGCCAAAAAAAAAAAAAAAAATGAAGTTTTGTTTTATCGGCTGAAAAATATAGGAAATTCGATGTGAGTTGTCCCCCTTCCATTTTCATGATGTCTCTTAATCGTGTTTTCAAATTGATTTTGTGCAAAAACAATTATATTTTTCCCATTTTTGGCACTGTTAGAACCACCACAAGGTAATTTTATGTAGTCCTGTGAAGTTTTGTTGAAATCGGTTGAAAAATATAGGAAATCCGATCCAATATATAAACGTTAAAGAGACACACACACACACACACACACACACACACACAATCTGCGTTTTATAATAAGTAAGATTTTGAACAAAGGAAAGCTAGAAATAGATTTAACTGTATTTTATTATGCTTAAATGTTTAACAAACAACATTATAATGTTTGCATTTGATACAATGAAAAGGTAAAAGATAATTGTCATGAAATATTGTTTCATTTTTGTTGATTCAAAACATTGGGAATATGTGAAGAGAGGTTGAATTTGATTTGTTAATGTAGGTATACAATATAGTTGTATTTATTTAAAAAAATGCACCTTCATTTTGACAGCCAAAAATGCTAAACAGAATTGAAGAAAAGAAAATGAAGATTTTGAAGATAATTATTTATTCTATATCTAGATTTGCCTGAAGAGTTTTCCAACTATAATGCAAGTGAACAGCAATTGCATGAGGCTGGTTATGATGCCTTCATCACTGGTCTTTGCTTCATCAGTATGAGCCAGTTTTTGGGTAAGTAACTTTTAATCAATAATTCACTTCTCATAATAAACAAAGCAAATTGGAAATGAATACACCTTCAAGTATCTATTGTGAACTGATTCTTTTGATTACTGCCTTGCTTTCAACATGTTCATATTTGTGGTTTTTACTGAGCTTAACACTTGGCCAACTGGAGATAGAAAGATTATTGCCTCGCTTTTTCAAGTGGGAAGGTTGTGCTCAAAAATGTGATTGGAGGATTTGTAAATAAACTGATTTTGAAGAAAATTTTTCATTTGATGAAATACTAGAATGGCAGTCACCAAAATATTTTAGAGACTGATGTAAGCTCTGAACTTTTTTATATATATAATTTAATTTGAGTAGAGTAATGCGAAAATAATCCTTAATCACAAGTATTGGTTTGTTTTTATTGTTTTCAAAGTGTTTCCGTAATCTGGATGATAGACAACAGCTAGTGTTTCTAGGTATTCAGATATCAATGAATTTGGTAAAAACGTACCACATGGAATCTTTTGTTGCTGGCCACAATATTTGCTCCTCTCATGGTTGCTGCTTCACAAACACATGGCCTTGTTTCTAAAGCATGGATGCTAACACCTTAACCACCAAACAGGGTTGCTTGATATTTAATCCTAGTCTGGTACAAGACCACACGTGTTTGGCAACCAGTGAAGATATTCTCCTTACAATTGTGATGTTTTGTTAAATTAACTTTCACCTTAGTACGGTCCCCAAAGTGGGACTGAATATAAAAAAATACCACCTTGCTTTATTTACATTTGATAGTCTTATATTATAAAATGTTGTAGAATGCATAATAAGAATTCATTTTTATAACAGTATATATTGTATTTCCTAAATTGAAATTTTGAGTTTGTGTAATTTTATATTGGAATTTGTATGAAGAGAGAAGAAATGATTCCATTAAATCTGGTCTCTTTACAGTGAAATAGGGCAAACCTTTTTCTATCTGATAACAAGAATCAGTTTATCCATTGCAAGTATTTAAATTTTCTTATCCAGTGATAAATGAACTAATTTCATGAAAAATAATTGGCAATATAACTGGTGATTGTGAAAGACTTGTCAATGGAAAAATGTGATTGATTTAAAAATATCAAGAGAAATTTACTTTCTTCAGCTAAATTGGTTCACACACAATTAATATTGGTTAGACTCATTTAAGGCATTTTAAAATATTTAGAATTCTCTTCTTTTCTCTCAGGGGATTTTGAAGACTGTAAGAAACAATTGATATCTCCTCTGTCACAATTGTTAGAACCTTTTAACAACAAGTAAGTATTTTGGAAACCTTTTTATTTCTTCTTTGCATTGTGCAAATGGAACTATTACAAAATATTTGTCTTTATATGGAAATATTTTTAAGTTTACATCTTCCTTCTATACTGAAGCTAGCATGATGGAAAACATTCATAATATAATTAAGATGATGTATATTGTTCTTTTGAGATAAAAAAAATTTTTTTTAAAAATTCAACTTTTACACTTTTGTTTCTAATTTCACTGCTACTTATAACCAACCAAAGAATCTAAGAAGTAAATTAATCTGAAAATTCATTTTAGGATTTTAAGCGGTAATTTTGGCGTTTTTTTTCTTTCTCTCTCCAATCTTTACATTATTTTTTAATATTATAGGTTTTTATTTATTTATTTATTTTAATTTGTGATAATTGCATTATTGCCAATTTGTATTAAATGTAGAATTGCCGATAATGTTAACTAAATTATTTCCATTCTAAAACTAAAAATACAATTTGGCTGCTTCAGGCATTCGACATTTTTTTTTTCTGTTTGTTATTAATCAGAAAGACTGCTGACATTTTAAAATGGAATTTTTAATTTAATTCTGATAACTAATGAAATTGATGTTAAATATTACGGATGTCATGATGAGTGACTTGAAATGCTTTAAAAAAAACTTTTAATATTAAAAGTTAATGTAACTTTAACTTTTGTTCATTTAGTATACTTGAAGCACATCTATAATCCTTTCATATTTCTCTTTGTCTGTTTTGTATTATAAATTTTCAAATATTTACACAGTTTATTAAAGTACATGAAGAGTACATATAACCACCAATTCATTTCTCTTGTTTAATAAACTAGGGTTATTTAAGTGCTTTAAGATAACTAATTTTCCAACACAACATAAATTACATCTATTGCCTTTCTCTTTGTAAGATTTGGCTCTTGCTATAATATTCCAGGTAATAATAGGTGTTTTAGCACAATTCTTTAATTACCAAAAATATTTAGAGAGAGCAAGGCTGTTTTGGTATTTTGATTTGCCTAAAGTCATTTGATGCTGGTAAAAATGAAATTTCCAATGATTTTTCAGTGGAACCAAAATAAAATTGACATCATTACCAAGATATATGCTAGCTTTGTATACAATATTATCAGTCATACAGTGACCATTTAAGGAACAATTCATATTTTTTAAGCAGTTGCATTTATTTTTTTTTTAAATTTACATTGTTTTTGTTGGAATATATTTATTTAATATAATGTTATGTTGGGATATAGATTTATTGATGTGACTAATGCAGCTATAGCTGATCTTAACATTATTTTTGTTAAAAATCTTTTTTAGTGTTGCTGAATGATTAAAGTGCTTATGAATTTAGAAAAATTTTTCTGATATTAGTCTGAACATTACAATTAAAAGGTGGATTAAACCATATAATATTACGTTTACAGTGTTTCTGTATATTTTTAACTTTTTTCTAAATACTTTAAATTTACTTAATGGTTGCTTACTTCTAAAGCTTTTATATATTAACTTATCAAATTTTATTATCCTTATTGCTGGAATTGGCAGATAACTTGGACTGATTTATGTAAATTATCTAGAATGTTATGATAATGGTTTGTAATAGACATTATTCAAGTCCAAGGTCACATTGAGAAAGTTGATCACTTTTAGCATTGGTGATCTTTGAAAATTTTTATCAATTCCTTTCTCAATCAGTCTATATTTTGTGGACTTGTTTTATGGAGGAGAATTACACCATCATCTCTATAGAGTCCGCTGTCCTTAATGTTGAAAAACAATCTTAGTCGCCACAATAACAATATTACAACAATTTCGCATGCCTCTGCAGAATCATATGATCTCATAGCAATATTAAAGTCTGGGTTACTTTTTGGGTCCACGAACTATTATGGAATAATATCGGTTTTTGATATTTATTTTTGCGATCGGTAATTTTTTTTACTAAATTTATAACAGACATTAGCAGATTCTTGGTGAATGGACAAGTAAAAGTCACAAATATCGAATCAGATGAATGTACATTCATTCTTCCTATTTATATTAGTAAACTATTTTATGCCTTCTGCCACTGGTTAATTCCTAGAGCATTTTTTTTGTGTATTTGCATGCTCTTTCAAGGATGTTTTTGCAGATTTTACTGATATTATTTGTAGTTGGGTTGAGTAACTGGTATTGAGGGTTGTTTAGGAAATTTGCTTTGTGGTCTTTAACTGATGAATGCTTGTTGTTTGTGGAATTTGTAAATCCTACCCTCAATTTTTAATTCAGTAACTATTTTCTAGTTTTCACTATTAATGTTATTTTCCTATTTGTTGGGTGCCTTTTTATAAAACTTATTAACTTTGTTAATATCTTTATGGCACATGTCCACATTATTTTATATGGTATTTTGATCATAGAAACGCCCTCTAGAATTTTTTTCTGTAGATCCTTGGTAGTTTTAGCAAACTTAATTTTGTCTGTTACTGAGAATAGATCTTTGAAGTTCAATGCAGGGATGTACCATCTAGGCAGTGCCTACCTGAATAAAATAGATCTGTGGCACAATATGCACCCAACCAATCCAACAAAATTAAGAAAGTTACACTGATTATTATGCATAACATGCAAAATTTTTTATTTTGTAGATTTACTACATAAAGGTCACAAGCTGACTACTCTGAGTAATTATTGATGACATGTACCTTTTATTTGTATGTGTGTGTGTGTGTATATATATATATATATATATATATATATATATATATATATATATTAATGATTAGTAGGGATAATTCAAGGGGGATATAAATCCAAAGAGAGCTCAAATTTGTTTGAGTCATGAAATTATCACCTGACTGAATGGATTTTAAGGATTCTGTATTCATATATATATATATATATATATATATATATATATATATATAAATATAAAATTTTATGTAAATTTGAAAGAAAAAAATGTTATGACATGTGTGACTAAATCTTTCGTAACTATTGTTTTCACTTCAGATTGTTTATGAGCCGAGTACAGGACATTCCTTACATAAATATTACAGGAACTGATTGTAAGTAACAAATCCATGTCGGGTAATTTTTATATAAACAAGAAAATACTTTTGTGAAACATAACTTGCCCACATTTTCAAAAACATATCTGATTTGCATAAAGTCATTTTTGCAGTCACTTGTAAATGCTGCTGTCTGATCAGCTTGAAAGAAAGAAATGGCTGCCATGTAAAACTGAATTGTCAGTTTGTATTTCTATTTATTCACTTTATTTAATTCTTTGATGGCTAAAAAAATACATGAAAATATTCTGATGATAAGGACTTAACAAAATATCAGTTGTATAAATGAGTGCATATATGAATTTGTAAAAATATGAAGTTGTAATATTTTTTTAATTGGGAATGTTTGTGCTGTTTTCTTTGGAAATAATTTGTACATCTACAACATTTCAGATTTCATAATGAATCTAAGGGTATGAAATTGAATTTTAAAGTTTTTTTTTTTTTTTTTTTTTTATATTTTGCAGTAATAAGAAATCTTTGCTTATATGAAGTTTTATGGAATTCAACCATTTAACTGAATTCTTATCTTTTGAATAATAATAATAGTAATTTGAATGCTATTATAATATAAACCTCAAAAATGGCAATGTATCAGGTATTTGGTGAAAATAATGATAAACTAGATGTGACTAATTATAATTGTACCTTTGCCCCAAGAGATGTTAGTGTTGCCAGAAGATAATTGTTTATTTATGATCCATACTGCTTAATAACAATGACTATGACTGGCAGTTGTGTTAAAACAAGTAACAGAAAATAAGATAATTTAAAGTGCTGTATTGTTTGAAGATAGGTTGTTTTGTTGTGAGATTTTGCACTCAGTTTTGTGCTTTTGTTTTCAAAATACAATTGTTGCTTATTTTCTCTAGTACAACCTGACCGAGGCCATGTGTTCCATGTGACTTTCCCCAAAGAATGGAAGGCGGCAGACCTCTACCAACTCTTCATGCCTTTTGGTAAATATCTTAATACTTAAAAACGAACAATTGTCATGCATTTTTTTTTTTTTTTTTTTTTTTTTTTTAAATAAATTTTATAGTTTACTTATCAAGGAGTGTAAAAAAAAAAAAAAAAAAAAATGATTAATTACAATTTGATTAAATTACCAGATAAGAAATAAAAAATATAATTATTGCATATTTTTGTTGTAAACATTTTAGAAATGTTATTTTATATGCAAGCAATTCCATTATTCAGTTAACATCAATATGATTTTAATTATTTTCCAACAAGCTTGTATTTCCTTTGAATATGTAACCAAAAATATGTTTGACTAAAAATATTTTATTTCTTCAATATTGATGTTGTTGCATGTAGTATGTGTATTGATTTTGACACTTAATATCTACAGATCTACTAATCATTCATATTGTTTGTGCACTTAATAGTACCCAGGAAGTTTACAATATTTTTTATATCACTTTTTCAGTAGAACATAAAAAAAGAATTATGTGCTAAAGTGTTTTAGCACAAATCTTACAATGTATGAATGAAATTCAATTGCCAAGAAAGAACTCTTTCTGATTAGAATAAGTGAAAGCCAACACCAAACTTTCTTCAGGAAAGTTTTATAGTTCTTATAGCTGGATGAACCAACATGTTTGTCTATTTAAAATATACAATCAAGTTAAAAAAAAAAAAGATGGAAGGAAATGAATAGTTTTTGTTTCTTGTGATGAAAGACTAAGAAAAAATGAATAAATAAGCAACCATTTACATATTTTTTTTTTCTTGTATTCAAATAATTTCTATTTTCTAATTAGATGAAATGCAAAATTTTTATGAAGTTTGATATATTTTAAAATTCTCTAGGTAATGTCCAACTGTCATGGATCAATGATAACTCTGCATATGTGGCGCTTCACAACAAGGACAATGCTGAAATGGGTGAGTTTCTAACTTGATACATTTTATAAAAAGCATTGATGAAGCTCAGATTGATACTAAGTTATAAGGTTTTGAAAAAGGCATTCAATTTTTGTACTTGTCATATTTAAAGATTTTTATTTAAGTATTTTTGATTTTTGTAATATCTTTTTGTAGTCTTGAAGACACTGAACCAGGCTGAGACCTATCGAGTAATCTCCTACAGTGAATCCAAGCGCAAGAAAGTTCTATCAACAGAAAGCCATCAGCGGAAGCGGCGCCATTTAATCCTAGAACAGGATTCTGTTGAAGAAAGTGGTAATGTGAAGAAAGTTAAAACCCTCAATGTCGAGTAAGAATCTGCTTAAAAATCTTCTAGAATGTTCTGAGATTGTTTTCTGTATTTTTTATTTCAGCTTTAGGTTTGGTTTTTTTATTTTTTTTCTAACTAATCTTTTATTCCTATAAATTTCTAATATTCTGTCACCTAGAGTATTTCCTTTTATTTTCCATGATGTTACATTATCTTTGAGGTAAACCATAAAAGAATGGTCTGGGTTTTGATTTGAATTCTTAGACATTGAGCTTAGAATTGCTAACCAGACAAAAAAAAATACAGTTGGTCAGTGCAACACTGTGCAATAACAGCAATTGGTAATAATGAATTTCATCTGAAACTCACCAGAGATGAGGATTTCTTTTTCTAAGTAGACGAATTATTAACACAAGTTAATGCCTCTCCAAAAATGACATGTTTTTTTTTCCATTTTATAAACACAAGTGAAATTTTCCATTTAAAAAGCTATTATCCTTTTCAAAATTTACTTTAAGAAAATTAGAAATTATTAAGTTTATTTCAAATATTTTGAAACATTATTTTCTGCACTGAAAAAATGTAGTTTAAAAATAAGACAAAGCAGGTCTTAACAATTGGTGACAAGTGATTTCATCATGTATTGACACTTTACGTGAGGGAAAGTTATCATAACTATTTAGTTTTAAGTGAACCAACTTATTTACCTCTCATTATTTTTAAGGAAAACTTTCAGTTCTCTAAATTTTTTTTTTTTTTTATACTTTGCGTTCACCTTTACGTCTATGATGTTCATGCAAAATATTACAAAACAAATTAAAATAAGACTTGTGAGTGATAAAATTTCATAAGGTATCTAATTAATTATAGGTACCTTATGAAATTTTATCAGACATGTACATAAAATACTATAATTTTATTTACATTTATTACATTTTACGGTATTATTTGTATTTCCATTCATAAAAATAAGATCATATAAATTTAGATACCTAGTACTTGTAGGTACCCTTTTCAGTTGAAATTGAAAAATCAAATTAACTTTTCCATACATATTTTGCATGAACAACTCACAAAAATAAAAAATAAATAAATAAAGGGCATAACGGTGTGGAACAATGCTTAGTAATAACGTCATATTTTATTGTATTAATGTTGTTTCTGGTCTTGTGTAGATTTGAAATACAACCATTTTAATGGACACAAAAACCAAATGAAATTATATTTTTCATACAGTGGTGGTCTGCTGATTGTAACCAGCTTTACAATTTATAATCTGTAAAGATAGATTTACTTAATAACACCATTGACTAAACTGTACATCATTTTCACTAATTTTAGAATATTTAACAACTTTAATCTAAAAATGATAAAATAATTCAAGAAATAACATTGTTTTAAAAATTCATTTTTCATTGAGAAAGTTTTTTGCTTTCAAACAATATTACCTATATCCATAAAAACAACTAAAAGAATTTGAAATTAAATAATATCTTTGTTTTTTATGTTACAATTCGGAGTTGATTTTCAGGTAGAGGAAGTCTGATTAAACAAAATGTGATTTGCTTTCCTCAAAGCCTTGTGCTTTAACTAATATAATCACTAAATTGTACACTTGAATTCATAGTTTTCATGAAATTAGTTATGGGGTGGGAGTAAAAAATATTTAAAAAAAAAAAAATTTTTTTTACCATGAGTTTAAAAAAAAAAAAAAAAATCATAATTTCAATCATTTGTGAATAGTTTCTGAAAGTTTCATTAAAATCTGACAATTATTTATTTTTGCAAGATTTTCCAAATCAATGTCTGTTATACAAAAAAAACGCACTAAAATTTTCTGTTTAGTAGTTCTGCTGACACAATGAAAAACAAGGTTTTTTTTTTTTTTTAATCAAATGTTAGAATGTTCTAAAAAGAAGGAAAAATTTTTAAAATAATTAAAAAATACTTTCTTTCCTATTAATTATAACAAACATTTTGACGTTAAAATTTTTGTTCTTGTCAAATTTGTGGCCTTTTTCATCATGCTATGCATTTTTTTTTTTTTTTTTTTAAATGATCTCATGGAGGATCCTATGTTTAAGGAAAGGTTTTTTTTTCTTTTTACACAACTGAAGTGTTGCGAAATCAAATTTAATGGGCAGAGATAACTTTTTTTTTTTTTTTTTTTTTTTTTTTTTGAAAGTGATAATGTTTTTTTTTATCTTTTTTAAGCATTTCACCCCAAGCAAGGCGGAAAGCCACTAGGACGCAAGGGGTTACAGAAAATTTAGAGAAAGATCAGATAGGAGTGATAAAAGAAAGGATGAGGGTAGTGAATAGATCAATGCAACTGGAGATGTCGATTGACATTACACTTGAATAGCTGGAGATTATAGCTCACAGGGAAACAGGAATAGGGAAGGGAGTTCCACAGGCGAGAGGTGCAAGGCATGAAGATATTGGAGTAGAAGAGACGGCTACATTTAGGAGTTTCGACAGTGAAGGGGTGAGAGTGGGATGTCAGCCTCGTATGGCGCTGGAACTCATGACGTCTGGGAACCAGCGAATGCAGCTCCTCGGAGCAATTTCCATGAAAGTATTTGTAGAACAGACAGAGGGAGGCGACGGCGCGTCTGTGAGAAAGTGACTGTAGGCGAGACGCCAGAGCAGGGCCAACTACATTGAATACATGTTTAGATTTCAATTCAAGGACAATGAATAGTAATTTGTTTAGTCAAAATTTATCTCCCATTTGAATCATTTAAGGAAGCCAATTTCCTATATTCTAGTTAAATTTTTGTTTGTAATTTTTTTTTTTTCTTTTCCTTTTTGAAGAAGGGATTTCATTTATCTAAGTTGGTGAGAGGGTAACTTGCGGGCTTAGAAAAAAGACAGCTTTCCAAAAATGCTGATGTGATAGATTAAGAGAATGGTAGTCAAAAGGTACCTGTTTGTAATTAGTGCAAGTGTCTCTTAATAATGTGTTATATTGGATGAAAAACATTAGGGGTCCCGGCTATAGGAAAATAGTGAACCTCCAAACAAAACAGTATGAAAGTATAGAAAGTACATTTTTGTATTAAAAAAAAAAAATGACCAACAATACATTTTTATATTTAGTTAAAGGCATACAATTGTTTTAAAAATATTTATGGAATCATAAAATTGTGTTTAAAACATTTTGGCATTAAATAACTTATAGAGGTTGATATAGTGTTAAACAAAATCAACCAACCAAACAACTTTTAAAAATAAAATTGAAGCTTTTGGTTACTTTGTTCAATTAAGATGCAAGTGAAAAAGTCTTTGTAAAAGACAACAATAGGCAATTTTGTTTGCTGTCTATAGATGCAAAAGGAATCAATGATTTGTAGACATTTTGATTTACTTTAAAATGTCTTCTGTTTGGATTATTTTTTAAATATTTTAACTGTATTTGTCAGCTCTTCTAATAAGAATAATGTTATTGTTCACTCTGGCCTGTTACTTTCTGCCACTCTGCTCTTTGAAGTGTGAATTTTTGTTTGTTTGCTTCCTTTTTCAGTGCTGCTCCCTTCATTTCCAGGCGTTTTTCTCCCATGGTCAGAATAATTGATCCCAATAATCAGATCTCACTGTCTAAGGTAGCCAACAGAGGTACCCACCATTATAGTAACTATTTCTCATATCAGGTTTTGCCTTTAAGCTAATAATTACTCACCAATTTAAGTTTCTCTATTTATTTCTAAATCTACACAAGATGAGAAATGGAAAAGAAAAAGTTTCAAAATTGTAAAGAATAAGAAGAAAAAATATTTTTAATAAAATTTTTTTGTCAAAAGTAAATTATTAAAAAGTGCAAACACAAACCAATCTGTGCTTGTGTGCATGTACACACAACAACAATATCAGCATCAGTCGGCTATTTTAAGTTGGGATCTTTATAGGAATGCTACTCTGCTTGCATTCATTCTTTTAAAAACATTCCTCATTATCTTATGAGATAAAATTGTGATTTAGTATTTGTCAGCTGTTATAAAAGTGTGATAAATGTAAATGGGCTGGTTGGATCAATGTTGCCTAGAATTGCACTAAATTGGTTGAGTATTCATTTGATGCATTCAGGACTTTACAGTCTGAAACTGGATTAAGTTTGTTTTCATCTTTGAGCGCTTAATATTATTGAACAAAATTAACAATATTAACTTTCCTTATTGAAATGTTTCTTTAACTTTGTATTTTGAAGATATATATTTTTGTTTTGTGTTACTGACCTCCAAGTTATATACTTTTTAAATCTGGTCCTTTGTATTGAAATGTATTTAACAAAAAAATAGCCTATTTTGTTTTGTTTTTTATCAACATTGCTACCCAACCATTTATATTGATTTTATATATGTTGATATTGTCTTCTATTGATTGAACTTTGTTTCAAATAAGCCATTGTCTAAATTGGAATAAACTGAAAATAGTCATTAGGCTGTAAGTGGAAGGCAGGTGGATTTGGCAAGCATATTTCTTAGAATTTTATGGTAAGGGAAGGGGCTACATTAATTGCTTTTTAGCATTGATTTTTTTTTTCTCTCCTGGTCATCAATGATTACTAGTCAGTTATTTGAAGAATTGTTTTCATCTGTTTGGCTGATAGACTGGAAATTAAAACATTCCAAGTCATCCAATTTCATTTTGTACATACCATTGACTCATTTCAATTGGTAAATCTGTTTTTATATTGAAAGAAAATGAAATTTAACATTGACATTATATCTGAAATAATCTTTTAAAAATAGTATAGTGTTAATGTGAATTTGTAGCAGTTCTAAATGACCCACATTTGTTTTTCTTTAGTTTACTTGTGAATCTGGGCTAACCAATTGCTTGCCTGTTATATTTTAATTCAAAAGAAATTTAAATGAGCTACTCTGTATTTCAAATCCAATAGTTATCTGTTGATTTACTTGTGTTGTTTACAGTTTCTTTGCAATGATCAGATTAATTTGTTTTGCAGCAGAGTAACAGCGGAATATGATTCCATGTCTGGAAAAGCCAACTCGACCCTCAGACAACAGCAAGAGAAAAGCAAGGAAAGAGGGAAGAATATGCAGTGGGAACCTGAAAAAAGTAAGTCCTTAATTGTTTGTCTTTCTGATGAAAATCCATTAAAATCTGGTAGATGAAAAATTATTGTATAAGAATTTTATGCTTATTTTAGAGATTGAAGAATAATGATCATAGAAAAAAAGCAAAAGAAACCCCCAAAAAACTTTAGATATTCTAAATGCAAGTGTAAATGGGAAAATGGTTTAAGGTGTATAACCTTATTTATAAATCAATTTTTGCATTCATTTACAACCATTTTTTATGCAATTTTACTCATACAATGTAATGTGATGACATCAAATAGTCAAATCAAAAACCTTATAAATAATGTTTTGAAGTGAAAAAAAAAAAACTTTTTATGGTATAAATTTTCAATATTTGTCTTTGTTGAAAATCACATTTTTGATGATGGAAAATATATCTGCTTTTTAAATTTGTAATGTTTTGATAATGTTTTTTTTTTTTTTTTTTTTTTTCTTTTAAAAATTAATGTCTTCTAATTCCTTTTTGTCATATTGTTTGTTTTTGCCAGAATTTTTTCTGTCCTGTTACTTGTTTGTTAATCATAGTTTTGTATCATTTTAGTTTCTATATTTTAATGTTAGTACATATTTTGTGCATAGATTTATTAATCATAATTAAGGGTTTATTTCTATAAATAGTGAATTTTTCAAAAGAGAAAAGTATTGGAGGAGTGTGTGTGTGTGTGTGTGTGTGTGTGTGTGTGTACATGTGCGCACACACACACACACACAGAGGGTGCAATGGAAAAATTGGCGTTTAAATTAAGCAAAAATGGAAATACTGACATCTCATTTTAACAGATATACTTAAGTTAGGTGGTCAGATGTAAGGGATGATGTGGTCATAGGAATTGTCTGATATCCACGACTGGGTTCTCTTGCTTGTGTAGCATGTTGCCAGACATAGGGTCTTCCAGCAGCCACCCTCTTGGTTCAGGGCGGCATTACCAGCAAATTTGAACTGAAGGATGTTCTCATTTTCCATGTAAACAATCACAATTTTTTGTACTTGTAAAATATTGTTGGCTATTTTGGCTGGAATAGCCTTCAAGGGGTTCTTGAAGATACATTTGAAATATTTGAAAAGAACTTCAGGATAAAAATGGGACTTAACTGTTTTGAAACAATCATTGGTCTGAAAGCTGAAATTTCTGTATTTTAGATATGCAAACATTTTCTCTTTTCAAATTGTTAAACTTTAAGGATTATTCTTTTTTTTTTTTTTTTTTTTTATAAAATTGAATTTTTCTTCAAGGATAAATTTTTACTCTATGGAAATGTTTAGTATGAATTTTTTTCAAACAGCCAAATTCAGGCCACTGTATCTTGCACTGATTTTTTTCCTTTCTTTCCAGATGAGCAGACAAAGGAAAAACTGTTTGAAGAGAATGATGATTGGTAAAGAAAGAAATTCATCCAGATGCCATCCTTTTTCTTTCTCATACTTTTTTTTTTTCTCTATTAACCTTTCATCTAAACTATTTTTTCCTCTGCTTCTTTTCACTGTCAGGGAATGATTCCAAGAAATCTTTCATACTCTCCCTGTAAATCTACAGGAATCTTTGAGTTCAACACTTGACCATTTTCAGTTTTTCTTCTCTTACCCTTCCCCCTTCTTGCTGCTACTGTCCACCTTACTTGGCAATTGTTGACATTTTTGTTTTGCCTTTCCCAAGTCATTCGATTCCAATATGGAAAATGGTATAAAACCCTCTTTCTGCATTACCCACACTTCTAGGAGGATCTGCAGGCACCTCTTCACATTTGGGAATGGAATAGCAATTATAACAAAACTGAAACAAACAAACAAACAAACAAATCCTAACAGATCAAAAACTGACACCTGAGAATAGAATCCTCCAAGACAAAAATAAATCTTATTAAAAGAAATCAAAAAATTATCCTGAAATGAAATGAGGTTTTGTAAGCCTCATTACCACAAATAAAAGAATAAAAATCACTTGAACATCAATAGATTTCTTTGGGAAATTTTGATTTTTTTTTTTTTTTTTTTTTTTTGTAACAAGAAATTTTAGTTTAATTTTATTTTTTTAACTAGAGAGTACTAAAGTAATTCTCTATCAGTTGAAGCACTTTCCTCTAAATAAGAACACACTTCTATTCTCTCTCTCTCTCTCTAAACATTGATAGTGAGAGGAGATACTTTAGTTTTATGCTGGGTTGAGCATTTATTTTTATATTACATTTAAGGATACAAAAGTATAAAGTTGTCTTGTTTTAAGCAAAATTTAACTGCAAGCTTTTTTTTTTTTTTTTTTTTTGCAGAAGATATTTTTGATAGATGATATTGAGTTTTCTCTTAAATATTTGATATTGAATAACATTTCAAAGTAAAATGGATTAGTGGTTCTGATTTGTAAAAATGCAGATCACTTTTAAACTTGTGTAACTAGTAAGAATACCTTTATTGATGTTTAAATTCTTTTTCATTAAAACTTTGAAAATTCATGTAGATTAAAATAAAAATTGATCAAAGGTGCTGATAAGAGCAATATTTCTTTGAAAATATTTGATGAAAAGAAGATATTTGTAAAGAATGCTTGCACCATTTACTATGACTACTGTCTGTACATCTGTAGTACTTAATAACTTGAATTCATTTGCCAGAAAATCTGGGATCAGAAATCTATGGAAAGATTTTCTTTTTTTATAAAATGATTTTAGCAATTGTGAGGAGTAATTATTACTGTTGGCAACTCTAATTTACTCATCTGACCATTAAATATGAAATATCACACATTGGTTTTAGATTTCTTTCTACTCTTGCTCATTTATTCAAAATACTATTGTCTCAATGTTTTTGAAGTTTAATTCAATGACAAAATATTGATTTTTAATAACTGAAATTGATTGGCTGTTTCTCGTTTTTTTTTTTTTCTTTTTTCTCCCCTAAAGAAAGTTTGAAGGTCAAATTAGAACTGCTTTTAAAAAAAAATTTAAAGTATTGTGAATGTAAGAATATTTTTGGCAGATAGTAAATGTTATCTTTTTATAAGTTTTTCACAATGAGAATGGCCCTTAAAAAATGTTATGGCTTTTCTAATAAAAAATAATGCCAATCATTTTTAACAGTCTTTGCAATATAAAAAAAATGATAAATTTAGATTCAAATTTTTTAAAGGTTTAATAATTTGAACTTATTTAAAGTTGAATATTAAGACCCACTTTTTTTTTTTTTTTTTTTTTTTTTTTTTTGACAATTGTCAAATTTTAATAAACCATCGTACCTGTTTCTTATTTGTTAGTCCTGATTATAGAATTCACTGACTTTAGAGCAAAAAATTAGGCAACAGATGGAATTATGAAAAATTTGCAAGAAAATGGTGGATGAATTCAAGTAAACCAAATTATGAGAGCAAGAATAAAAAAAAAAATTATTTCTAAAAATGTGGATGCTACTACCTTTTTTTTTTCTTTTACTTCCTACAGCAAAAACACTTTATCAGTAATAATTTAATGAGTCTCTCTTTTTAATCTATCTTTCCATTCTTTTAATTCTATCAACCCTTGAATAAAACATTTTCAATATTTCTAATCCATTCACTGTTGAAACCATGTCAGTCTTTGTGTCTGATATATAAGCCAAAAGAAATGTTAGTCATTAATTTTATACTTTCTTCATTAAACAGAAAAAATTAAACTATGAAAAAAATGTTAGGACATGTGGAAATAATAATTTTTAAAAGCAAATAATTAAACTTAGAAGCAGTTTAACAAGCAGAATGGTTTCTCTCCACATTTTTCAGTTCAACATTTACATTCTTAATACACATGATATGGATAAAATATCTTAAAATAGTTATATTTATTTGGCCTCCTCTTATTGGTGAGGTTTTTTGACAATACTATTTCAGATCTCCACTAAAAGATCTTTCACTATCAATCAGTCACTAATAATTAAAAAAAATGTTTCTCCTGCCACTTAAGTATATAAACTGTATGGAGATCACATCATTCTATGCTATAAATTCATTAAAATTACCCAGTAAGTATAGAAAATGACCCCATTGTAACAAATAGGAATGACATCTATGGAAGATTAAAAGTAGGTATCAGAATGCTTGTGTGTGTGAGAGAGAGAGAAAAATCTCTTTTGAGGAAAGTGATTCAAGGTGATTAATGAGATTGGGATATTTTACATTCAGCCAGAAAGTTCTGAAGACATGAATTTGCAGACTTGGTAGAATTGTTCAATTTCTGGAGCAATAGCACTGTCCATTATGGTTAGGCATCAAGTATAATTGAAACAGCTCTTGGTCTCTGGGATGTGTACAGAGGGGCCACCTGGATTCAGTTTTTTACAAAATTGTAAAAAAAATAAACTTGTGACTATATTGTGAATGCTGCTCAAGGAGAAAATTCTTGATTTGTGCTCTATGCTTTTATGTTGAATATATATATATATATATATATATATATATAATCATTCAATGCACTAGTTTGGCATCTTTGATTCAACAGGATGTTTTCAGTATGCTAGGATATTTTAGAATACACTTATACCCCACCTCCCAGAGTGAACAGAACACCATCAAAGTGTTTTTGCTAGAAAAGCCAATGTATGTTTCTTTATATTTAATTATGTCATAAGTAAATTTTTTTGACTTCTCACAAACTTATGCATTTGATTTATGCTGTTGATCATTTCAAATTACATTGTGATTCAATTCAACAAAGATTGTAGCATCAATGGTAGCTTTTAGTGATCTAATCAAATGGGATGTACTGTGTCGGTGGATGGAGTTGATGTGTTTTTTTTTTTTTTTGTTTTTTTTCTTTCTTTTTTTTAATAGTAAATGTTTATAAAAATGAAAAACATGAATTTCTGATGAGAGGGATTACTTTACTATTCTTGATTGTGGAAATTAGAAATGTTATTGCAAGAGCAAGGATAAAATTGAAGACTGACAAAATTAGATGATGATGATGATGATGACATTGCAACTGTTAAAAAATACTTTGTTAGCAATGACAGATGAGGGTCAATTGAAGGTGTGCATGTATTCATTCAATTTCTTATTTCTGGTGGCCTGACTTACAGGTCTGAGGTGTTATTGATGGCTATTAAACTATGGAACTAACACTTAGAGAATTTCTATTAAAAAATAGTTTCAGGTCACATCAATAATAGTTTGGTAAAGTTGTATTGTTATGAATATTTATTATGGAAGTAGGAAAATCTAGTGACTCGGAGTGCATCCAAAAGCTAGGGTCATAAGAATTGTTGTGGTTTGGAAACTCTATTCTCAAATAATTGTATATAGGAATTTCAAGCAAGGGACTCTTGAATCAAGGTCATGGTCCCCGGGAACATGTTAGTATAAAACAATATTGATATTAATTAAACGCAGGTTAGATATGGTTTGTGTATGTGAGAGTGAGCTTGTCTCAGGCCATTACTCTCTAAGCTATTTATACTTGACTTTCTTCCATTTGACTAATGTTTTAATATTGTAGCTGATAGTTACTAAACTCCAAATGAAAACAGTAAATTAGTTTAACACAATTTTCAAAATGCATTGGGCTGCCTAGAAAATCAGCATTCGAAATCTCTGCTTTTACCAGTGTTTGAACACATTAAGAAATACGTAATTCCGTTAGTAATTGTCCTCATCGGCACCATAATTCGTCAACCATCTCGCAAGGAAATACGTTTTCTCTTGCTAAAAAAAAAATAAAATCTGGCGAGTTCATTGTTGTGGTATATTAACGAATTTGCTTTGTCTATTGTTTTCTTTTTAAATTTCTTCAATTAAGAGATTAACGCCACAATTAACGGATGTTCGACTTTGAATTCTGACAAGAATATCTCATTGAAATGACATAAGCGTCTACATGTACCCTTTATTTGAAACTAATACTGTAATCTCCGAGTTCAAAGGGAGCTAAATGACTGAAACGTTCTTTTCCTTACTAATCTTTTAATAAATGCCAAATGAACAGGAAGATTGTGTTGCGCTAATTTTTCAAGCAAGAACTATCATCCTAAATTGAAAACCAACATTGGAAAATTCTAGCTTTCAGTGGTTTTCATAAAATGATTTTAGAATGGATCATGTCATGTTTTCAGTATGTAGTTTACCTTTTCGCTTAATCTGTGTGAATGAAATTATATGAATTAAGTTTGATTTGAATTTATTGAGAGCCGAATTAAGTTTCGTTAATCTCAAAGCCATGACAGGCATTTGGAAAACCTTATGCATGAAAGCTGAAATTCAATCTTGATTTAATCCGTGTATTGAACATTTATAAAATCTTTGTGAACGGAAGAACATCGGTTGGAAGCAAACTCTTGAATGTTATTAGGGAAGAGCGAAGAGACGAGAAAAGAAAATTATGGGTGAGGAAAAGGGGAGGATAAAAGGACTCTCAGAGCGGAAA